TCAGAAATTTTGCATAATTTAAAATTGTAGCTAACCGGAGAATACATTTTGGGTACTTGTGAGTTCTAAATTGCTCAGAAATTTGCTTAGAGGAATGTGATTTTTATTGTTAGTTTTAGATATGGTTAAGCTCAAAGCTGTTTACGCAAACAAAAATTTCTTTTTTTCCAGAAGAACAGCTTTAGTGGTATTCATTTGCTGGAATTAAACTGCATTTGTTATTCCTGTGAAGCAGAACATAAACTTTTGACCTCTGATGCATGGACCTGGGATTCATGGAACCTGTCATAAAAGCCAAGTCATTCTTTTAAAATGCAATGTTTGTATTATGCCTCAAGACAGAATGAGACCTAACTTGCAGGAAGACATGATGAGCTGCATAAATGTCACATGCTTTGAGGGAAGGTGAATTAAAATTAAAGGCATTATATTTCTCCTGGGAAAAGCAATAACTTCATACAGGTAAAGAAGCAAAAGGGATAACTGAAGGACAGCAGAGGTTTCCTGAGATTAGATGTACATTCATGGTCATGCACACTCATGCATAACTCATGCATAACATGTCCTCACAAAAAAAGTATGGGATAAATTCTAGTCCACGATCTTCAAGAGTCCAAATTTCCTTCCTATCACAGCTCATTCACCATTTAGCCCCTGCTCTCTTTCCATGTGAGAAATGTTGCTTCTATTACCTTCTAAATCACTGATTCTGCACCCACTGAAAGGTGTCTCAGTCCCCCACAGCTCATTGCCAGCATGAGTAGATCTGGGGTGGTCTTGCATCTTTGCAAGAGCAAGATAGTTTAGCTTCACAATAGTATTCCCAGCAATCCTATGAAAAGATATGATAGAGAACTTAACTGCTGATTAATGAACAGTTGTTGAGTGTTACTTAGTGGGAGTGTTTATAAAGCATATTAAATTTGACTTGTAGCAAGCTCAAAGGGAAAAGGCACAGGGAATATCAACAGAAAGTGCAAGGGACTACTTTTATTGCATGCCGGAAGTGAAGTGTGTAAATGAGAAAAGGTCCATGTGCAACTGGAGTGAAGTTCTTCAAGATTTAATCCGTGCTAAATGCTCTTTCTCTGTAGCTATCATTTTTCATGTATAATTTTTTAGGCATATTTCATAGTTCAGAAATATCACAGAGAATGTCTCCCACACAGGTTGTTATTGGACTTAAACTAGTATTAGTTGTAGTGGTTGTAATGAATACTTGGAATCTACTTCAACTGTTTTTCCAAACTGCTAGCATATTTTCCTTCATGAAGAAAATCTTCAAGTGAGCCAAGAGAATTTCAAGGTGCTGATATATGGTGCTAGATTTACATGAAAATGGAATATGTGACTGATTCCTGCAGTCAATCCAAGATTTTGAGCTTTTTTAATCTCTCAAACTGTACTTTAGATTGCAGAACCAGGCTGGACTTTGCAAATTACTTTTAATCTGCTATGTTACCAAGTGAAAGATAAGGTAATAAAAACACGCTATAGAGACTTTGTCATGTCTTAATGATAAAATTGCTTGCATTTAACAACAATTAACCTGGATTTTTCAGTTCTCTATCTGCAGAATTTGGGTGCTGGATTCCTGTACAAGTCGGATGAGCATTTAAAGATAGAGAATAGGTACAAAAGATTTTCTGATGTCAAGAGAAAAAAAAGTAGCCATTAACAAGAATAACTAGTAGGCAGAATGTTGTTTCTGATATCCTGTAAGCTTTTCCCAGCAATTATTTCAAGTGACCTTTTGTCATAGAATTTTAGTTAAACTAGTTATTTTTCAAATCTTAAAACATTCATAGATAAAAATTAATTGTACCTTAGCACCCTAGTAACTCTTATTTTGATTAGCCAAACAGCAAATGCTTAGACAACAGGAGCAATGTCTCTGTTTTACCTAATTGAAAATAGGCAGTTCTTAAAATGCCTGATTAATTCTATAGGCACTCAAATTTCTGCCTTTGATTACATCCACAGCAGTCTGTGTTTCAGCAGGGTGGAGCAATTTCATAGATATCTTTCAGCCTGGCCCCTTTGGGATCCATGCATGAATCATTTCTGCTTTCCTTAGTCAATCCCTCTCTTTTTGCTTGGAGTAGGCCCAGCATATCAATAAATAAATGAGCTTCTCAGAAGCCAGCTTTGTGCTAGCTGATTTCCTTGAAATGAATAATTGGAAGAAAATTGTGTAGTGAGGATACTCTTCCAGAGACTGCTGTTTATTCCTTCTGGAAGTGGAAAAGCTGGGGTTTATGGCATCTTCACCAGCTAGTATCATAGGATCACAGAAGGCTTGGGGTTGGAAGGGACCTCTGGAGAGCATCTTGTCCAAATCAGTGCTCGGGCAGGATCACCAAGAACCATTTGCCCTGGATCTTGTCCAGGTGGGACAGCACACAGCCAGGGGAACTGGACGTTTGTGTCAGATTAGTTGATATGTCTGGATCCTAGCTGGCCGTCCAGCTTGTACATGTAATGGTCCCAATGCAGGCTCAGACCTCTATGCAGTGTCAGATATCTCCCTCAAAAAGGGCTATTGTTTTCACTGTTGCTTTATAGCTTAGATGGTCAGCATAAACTGCCAATGGTCTCATTGGTCACATCACCCAAGGCCAAGGTCTTGATTCTCTCTGTGTCCAAAGCTGTTGTTACCTGGGTTACTGTCACTCTAACTGTGTTGTACAGATGTAAAATTAATCTGAGTTTGTTTGAACTGCCTTAATTCCTTTCTGTGCATAACTATAACTAAACCATCACAGGCAGGTTCTCTGTTCTTGGTTTGTTTTCCCAGCAAAAAAAAAGAATCATGTAATGAGTTAGACTTGGGCAGAGGTAATCTAGGTTTTACTTACCTGAGTGGTGCTTTCAGGCAGGCTTTGCTCTGTGATAAGCAACTGAAAAACTCCAGTAGAAATTAACTGGAAAACTGTCCTTTTTTTCAACTGGGTGTTGCTGTGAATAACCCCCCCTAATGCAAAAACATTTGAAGTTCAGATTTTATAGATTAAGTGGCAAGAAGAAAATAAATAATGAAGCATCCCTAAGGGAAGAAAACAGTAAATTTTCAACAGCAATGTGCTTAATGACAGTATGTTTTTAATGATAAACTGGGGGGGGAGGTTATGCCTATAGGGGTTGGCAAATTTTTCACATTTCATATAAGCTCATAACCTATTCCAACATACTAACTTGTATTTACAATTCCATGTTGATGCATGCTTTTGTTAACATGCTATCTTCTGAACACCAGCTGAGTTGACTGATCTTTTTCAGCCCAGCAAGAAGACTAATTCATTGTGTGATACAAAGTGAGTTCATATTTGAGTAACAGAGAAATATCTGTACTTTACTGTTAAGTAACATTGAATTTTATCCAAAAAATACTATTTCAAGTGCTGAGGAGTGGAACAAACTGAATCAGGGAAGCTGACTGTGCCAAGAATTCAAGTGATTCCATTCAGTCAGCTTTTCCATCATAAAATATGTTTTCTAAGTTTTCATGGTTTTAATCTCTTAGTTGTAGACAAACTGTCATCTCAGTAGAGTTGTAGGTTTGGGGTTTTTTGGATTTTTTCAGTTTCAGTAGAGTTAAACCACATTTTTATTTTACTTTTAGCTAGAACATGTATATTATGAACATCATTGAAATAAGTGTATTTTTAAGTCCTTTCAAAGAAAAATTAGAGATAATGATTAACTTCTTTCTCACAGAGTAAGGTCTGACCATTTTGCTGGTGGTTGGTTTGGACTTACAAATCATAGAATCACAGAACCATAGAATGGTTTGGGTTGGAAAGGATCTTTACAGATCATCTAGTCCAACTCCCCTGCCATGGGGAGGGACATCTTTTGCTAGATCAGGTTGCTCAAAGCCCTTTCCAACCTGACCTTGAATGTTTCCAGGGGTGGTGCATCTGCCATCTCTCTGGGCAACCTCTTCCAGTGTTTCAACGCCCTCACTGTGAAAATTTATTCTTTATATCTAGTCTAAGTCTACCCTCTTCTAGTTTAAAACCATTACCTTTTGTAACCATCACAACAGGCCCTGCTAAAAAGTTTTAATCTTTCCTGTAGGCCCCCTTTAAGTACTGTAAGGTCACAATAAGGTCTCCCTGGAGCCTTCTCTTCTCCAGGCTGAACAACCCCAGCTCTCTCAGCCTGTCCTCATAGGAGAGGTGCTCTATCCCTCTGATCATTTTCATGGCCCTCCTCTGAACCTGTTCCAACAGGTCCATGTCCTTCCTGTGTTGAGGACTCCAAAGCTGGACACAGTACTCCAGGTGGGGTATCACTAGAGCAGAGTAGAGGGGCAGAATCACCTGCTGCCCCTCTTGCCCCACCTTTTGATGCTGCCCAAGATATAATTGGCTTTCTGGGCTGTGAGTTGGTGGCTCATATCCAATTTTTCATCTGTCAGTATCCCCAAATCATTCTACACAAAGCTGTTCTCAATACGTTCACCATCCAGTCTGCACTGATATTGGGAATCCTCAACCCAGGTGCAGGGCCTTGTCTTTTCCCTCTAGTGTATCACAATTTTGTAGTGTCTTTCTTAAGGTAAATGGGTGCTTTTACTTTTTGTCTCTATCTTAAATTTCCTTGCAAAAATTGAATGTTCTTAAAGAACATTAGGAATTTCTCATATTTCCAGATGTAGACCTCTTATAAAAGCAGTTTGCCTTTAATTCACTCTGGTTTATTTCTCTCAGGACATAATTCTTAATACATGGCTTCAAAACGGACAGTAAAATACAAGTCCTTGAGCACAACATTTAATTAGGAATGAACTGAGATTAGTATCTTAAAAACCTTTAAAATCCAATCTAGTGATGTAAATGAAAATGTAGCCTAAGCATTTCAACTAGAAACTGAGTCTACATTTTCCTAAATGCCTCTGTGGTTTTTTTTTACCCCTCCTCTTTTTCATCCTTCAGGTGTTCACAGAGTAGCCACAAATGTTTAGTTCCCTTTATTTTGTTGTTTGGTTCCGACAGGTGAGAAGCCAGGGACGGAGCAAGACGAAGTTAAGCTGCAGAATGCCAGCAAGCAGATTGTGCAGACGGCCATCCTCCGAGCTGTGCAGCAAGTTTCCCAGGAGAGCCAGCAAAAGGAGAAGCGAACAAACAGCAGTACGAGCCTCCAGCTAGAAAGAGGAAAATTAACCAAGAAGCACGAAAAGAAGTAAAGGAGTGGATTGCTTTGTTCAGTCCTCCAGTCTGCAGTGTTTTCAGCCTTCTCTTTAGTATCAGCTGTAATTGCTAGTGCGATGTTACTGTTGAAAAGCAAACCAAAGTATAATCACACCTAGACATAGGGTAAAGCGGCGATAGTCCTCAGCTGAGAAATATTAAGTGCATTAGATGACTAACTCCATGTTTATGCAGTGCCTCTTAACAGAAACAATAACCATAGCTATAAAAGTAGTTCCAAGCACAAGCTCTTATGGTATGGACTTGTTCTCAAAAGCTTGTTGTCAGTGCACTTTCATGTAAGTTCTGCGTGAGACGTTTATGTCAGTTCAGCTGGACAGACTCTTCTCTGAGTTACTGGGTTCACTGAAGCTGTCTTCACTGAAGAAATAGCTAACTGTTGAGTGTAGCAGAATACTTTCAGGCTGCCTTGAAGCATGAATTTGTACTTTGCTTTGATTAAACAAGGACAATGTGAAATGGTGGGATAAAGTGGATATGGTAAGTTCCATGAACCAATCTTGGAATAAAAAAAAAAAGCAATCCTGTGAGACTGCAGTGACTGTGATCTATGACTGGGATCATAGACCTATGTTCTATGTCTTTTTTTAAAGAAGTTAAAAGAAGTACTGAAGTTTTAGTCTACTTATTTGAAATACTTCTATACTTCTGCATAAGAATCACTTGTGCCTCGACTATTCCTTTTAGTTTTCTTGATACTGAAAGAAGAGCAACTGATGTGCTGATATGGAGTTCACCAGCTTTTCCTTCAGTTTTGTAAGTTTGCTGGGGATTGATTTAAAGAAAGACTGGAGTGTCTTAAAAAGAAAGTGTTTGAATTTATTAATATCTTGAAGGGTGGAAATACACTGTGTTTGAATGCTGTCATGGTAGATATTTCTCACCTGCTGGACATAAAGTGACTTTAGATATTTGCAGTTGTTACATAAAGTCACCTTAAATAGCACTGCTTTAAGCTGGTAATACAGAATTTATCCTTCAACTGCTCTATATAGCTGAAGAAATCCATGATGTTTCTGAAAATACAAATTAAATAAATGTAGCTTTCACTTTTATGCTCCCTTACTGTAATAACAATTGCACTATTATACATCTGAAATGAATAACAGTATATGTAATTCTGGAAATCGCTTGTAGCTCTGCTTCAGCTGAATTGTTGTAGTAATACACCTAGAAATATAGAGAAGCAGATGCGCAGGATCTGCAAAAAAGGAGACAAACTTTCGTAATTGCTTTTCTACTCAGTTAAATGATTCTCAAAGAGACTTTTTGCTTTAAGTAATTGGTTATTACTTACTGTGTCCTACTGCTTGTGTTGAACAAATTCAGGATTCTTTCTCATGGCCAGAGGCTTAGTCATGAATAGCCACATACTGTAATATTAAGCCTTTGAAATCTGCATGGTTTCTTTTTTTCTTTTTTTTTTTTTTAATTTAGCAGCACTGACTCATACCAGATAATGATTTAGCTCAATCTTCTTTCACTTAAAAGTGCAAAGAAGAATTTGACATGATTAAAATTGTTCTAAATCCTGTAATAATGAAAAGTGACTTGGACTGCAAGTACACAGTTAGTTCACTTCTATAAACACTGGGTGGATTTTTCCAGCCAAGCAAACTTTGAAAGGTAGAAGCAGTTGAGTCTTGAAACATGTGCGTGTTTATCGTAATAGCAATTTTTTTTACTATTAGCTTTTTCATCAATTGACCTTTAATTGGGAGGTAGCTCTATTCTAAACACTCTTTGCATCTTTGCTTTCTGAGAGCCTAAGAAAACTGATCACGAGTAAAGGTTCATTCTGAGGCTGATGGGCAGGCAAGTCTAGTGGATGAGGGAGAGGAAGCCCGTGGGAGAGACTCTGTGATGCAAGGTGTTTGCCATTAACTCACCTACAGTGCTGTAGGAAGGAGAGCTATAGGACAGCAAAATCCCCTATTTTGGGGGGATTATTCTACTTTTTTTTTTTTACTTTTAATTTAAAAGACATATTTGCAATATGTCTTTTTCTTTCCACATCCCTGGTAATTATGTTAATAATCTGTACGTAATTTGGAGGCTTGTTTATATGTCTTTTTTTTTTTTTTTTTTTTTATTGGGAAAGGTGTTTAAAAACCGGTGGGTTTGGGGATTTTTGGGGTTTTTTGGGGAGTTTTTTTGGGTTTGGTTTTTTTTTTTTTTTTTAATTATAGTCTTAGAAAAAGAGAAATTTCAAAAGCCAGTGGATCCAGGTGTTTGCCACTGCTTCATATGAGCCTGTTCCACTACTCCCACTGTGCTCTTCTACAATATCCCTTACTGTCCTAGGCCTTTTAGGCATGCTGTTATTCAACCAGTAAATCATGCCCATCATTTTTGGTGCTGTCAGAAGTCTAATGTTTTGGAAAGATAAAAATGGTAGGAGGCCTAGCAGAGCCTTGAGGAAGTCTTCTGTGGTCTTCTATTGAGGCAAAACAAATACTGTTAGCATAAATAGCATAGTTTTCCCTGAAAGCCAAATAACATGTCTCCTATCTATAGTATATATCCCTAAATTAAGGCATGCATTTAGTATCTCCTATTGACAAAGGGTGTTCTGCACACCACTTGCAAACAGGATGTGTAGTTGAGATCTGTATTGCATGTGAGAGAAATGTATAAAAGAAAACTACCCTTGGCTTGTTATATGCTTACTACATGGTGAAAGCGGGTATTTTTGGTATCTTCACTGACAGATTATATTTTCTGGAAAAAATGCAGACTATAGAAATTATTACAGATGTGATGCAGGTCTGATTACAAATAAAGAAACTCTTAAAGAAAGTCTTTATGCCTTACATGTGTCTGGTTTCTCTGGTCAAAAGAAAGGAAGCAATTTTCAGATTCGCTAGACAATCTTATGAAGCAGGCAATGTGCTCATGAGGTTTGTAGTAGTGAATGCATTATTCAGCACAATAATTTGTATCTTCAAAGTGCAAGACAATCAAAATGATATCTATATGTATTTAAAACAAACTCACCACCTTTTTGCACTGATCGGTAGTAAATAGAAGGATGCACAAACATGTGTAAGTATATGTATCTCAGCTCCTTTCATGAAGAAGAATCAGGTGGCTGTGGCTGTCCTGCGCTGTACTTGCTATGGTTTCATTCAGGTTGATTATGGCAATTTTATTACCATACATATGCTATTCTTTTTGGTGCAATCAAGCAGCAGCACCTGAATGGAAATTCACGTAAACAGAGCGGGATGTTCTTAAGAGATTGCTGAATACCACTGTTCATAAAGTTTTTGGTTCTGTGTAATTACATTGGAAATCCCTGCTCTAAAATAAATTAAAAAAAAACACCAAAAAAACAACTATGACTTGGAAACAGCCATCTTAATTCTATCGTTTCAGAAAAATAAAAGCATTCTACAAAAGTATTGCAGTTAAGAGTTAAACATTCTTGAATATTCAATAGCAAACAATGCACCAAAAATCTTGCAATCTCTACTTAGTCGTGCCTATTTTTTTTCCTGGTGACATTTTTTAAGTACCCTGGAATGTACTATGTCTACAATGGCAGGTACATAAAAACAGCTGTGTAACTATTCTCAATATGACTACCACGAAGTATGCTGAGTTGTTCTTTAAATGTGTGCTAATGTTAAGTACAAGGGTTATTGTGTCATTACTGAAGGCATTTCTAAAAATTTTAATCTAAATTAGGGGAAAAGATAAGAGGAAGTAGAATAAATCCTTGAAAGGATGTGGCATTCCCTGTAAGTCTCTTGGTTACCCACTTAGGTCTGAGAAGAAATTAAATTAATGAAACCCTGAATATTACCACAGCCTAATTTCTCTCAATCAGTTCCTGCAACACAGGGATCAACTTGTTAAAAGAGTTTGTGTGAGTGATGGGGAAAAAAAAGAGCTGTTGATAATGTCTTCCTTGCCTGACACTCAGTAAGGAGTGAGCAGCGGTACTGAAGGAGCCTGGTTTCTAATGGATGGGTTTTCTTGCCATTGGTTTTGGTGCCTCATGTTAAACTCTGGCAGAATCTTTTTCCCTATTGTGAGTTGTCCAGAACACAAGGATTCTCTGAGGTCTGATAAGTTTTTAATTTATGCTGTATCCTGCCTTTCAAATGGAGCAGAATGAGGGTCTTTTTTTAATACTTCCAGAGTTTCATTCACAAAACCTGGTGAGTGAGCATGGGCTTTTGCTTCTAAAGACCACTGTATCTTCACTGGATTTAGTCAACATGCCCAACAATTTCTCTAATCCTTAAACTGAACAGATGAGTACACATACTAGCTGTTTTTGAGAGCTCTGCTGAAAACCAAGAAATAGATACATATTTTAAATGCATTTGCTTCGAAGCTGTTCTTGTCTGCCAGGCAGATTTTCTTTGTTTAATTAACATAAGCAGCTTTTCTTTTTTAATAACTTTTCCTCCAGTGACCTGCTACTTGGATTTTGTTATACGAGCTTGCTCGTTTTAACACTGAAACAACAATAGTTCATGTTTAGCTTGGGTTTGATTAGAACCCCTGTGGAATTACACATTCCATTATGGTGTTTTGTCTTTTCTTTCACTAAAGGTGAGTAGCAACAATAAGTAATGTTCTAAAGAAAAGGAAGGGGTGGGTGTGCTTTTGTTGTGATGGTATTTTGTGTTGTGGGGGTGTTTTTCCCCCTCAGTTGCCTATAGCAGGAGGTCACATGGGGCAGATCATCATGAATCATTCACACGCGTTGTGACAGTAGCTGGGTGTAGAAAGTGTACAGAAAGAGAGAAAATGAACTCTTATGCAAGCTGGAAACTGAACCCACCTAAGCTGATTATAAAACATTGAAGTAAGATACTCCTGGCAGTTTTAAGGAAAACATTCTATGTGTCCTGTCAGAGTTTAAACCCATTTGGAAACTCCAGCTAGTGAAGACTGTAGTTGTTTGCTTTGTGATATGAGGTGGAAGATGAACATTTCTGCACTGTTTTGAAAACTTAAATGTTACCTCCTTCTGTCTACAGAAGACTTTGAATTTGGCAGGGGGGTGCCTTTGCTACTGCCCTGGGGAGTGAATAGCTGTGTGCACATGCATCCCAGAAGATTAAGCCCCTGTCTCCAGCTGCTATAGTAGATGCACCTGCCACGTATTCCTTAGTAAACATACCTCCTACTAATGCTGTTTCCCCTCATTTCTTTCACAAGAAACAACTAATTCTAAAAATCCTGAACTACAAGATGAACTATGAAAGCCATCTTCTTCCAGAAGAGGGAAAGTGAATATAGTAAATCTTCTTTGCCTCATTGGTGGGATATTGACCCTTTCCCACAGTATGTGTTTGATTTGAAGGAGGACGACTGTGTTACCCCTTTCTTGCCCTCTTTTGCTGAGGGAGTAGCCATAAAACAGGCTTCTTTAATATTTTCTTCCAAGGCAAAAAGTTCCTGGCATACAGTTTGCCCTGACTTGTGATAGTTTACTAGGTCCAGCTGACTTCAGATTTCCCATAGATCACATACCTGGTTTGTTGGGGTTTTTTTCTACCCCACTATAGTAGAAGAGCAGACTTTCAGATCTGAATATCTGCAGTGGTGAGGATCTAACAGTTTGCTTGCTACTTTACCAGCTGAAGAAGTTTATATATGTGCAGTCCAGCAACCCTAAGTAGAACAAGTTGTCAGATCTTGTAACTCCTCCCATCGTATTTTCCAGAATTATAGATACTTTTATACAGCCTCTTTGTTTTACTAAGCATTAAGCTTCCTAGGTCCATAAGTAGGAAGAGGGAGTCTTGTTGTCCCCTTCCATTTAGATCACTGAAACCTGCGGAGAACAACAGAAGCTGCACTGTTTGGAAAATGACACTCTCAGTGCTGAGCTGCCTTTGTGGCTTTTCTCTTAACCTCATATGTTTCTTTATTTTCGTGTATTCACTTCCAGACAGCAGCCAAAGAGAGAGATCCTCAAAACAGAGATAACTGAGGTACTAGAGGTACGAGGATTAAGTGTGTCCTTGCATCATCCCCAAGTTTAAAAAAAATCAGCCTCATGCCATGCTTCCCTCTGGTGACTGGGTGAAAGGACATGAGGCTGCATATTTCCCTATTTCCTCAGCACTTGAGGCATTGGGATGTGACCAAGTCAAAGAGCTGTTTCAGTTTAGGAGGCACACACTTCCTTCCGTCTGCTAAAGCTGGCTGCAAAGATGAGTGCCTGAGTCAGCTGACAGCTTGCTCATCACTGCTCAGAGGAGCTTGGAGGGATGAGAACAGGCATGTCTCAAGTCAGGCTCCAAGGAGTGAAACTGCAGAAGACACTGGGCTTCTACCTGACCAGGAATGGTGCTCCACTGGGTGGAGCTGCTAAACAAGTCCCTCCTTGTGTGTGGTTGTGTTGGTGCTTCGTTTATTTCGACAAAACCCTTGGGTGCTTCCTGTTCGCTACCAGGCAGGAAAGCAACCACAGTGCTCTAGCAAGCGCTTTTGGAATTCAAGACCACTCTTCAGGATACCTGACCTCAGAAAAAACATTTTTTTCAAGGCCAAATTTGCACATCTGCTTCTGTAACTTGACTTGTGCCTTCAGCCTTTTCTCCTTTTCTGTATAATGCAAGGAAACACTGAAGTCTGCAAGATAAAGTTAATCTCCACTGTCTGTTTGTGGGGGTTTTTTGGCTGCTCTTTTCTACTCCGCTTACCTGTACTGTTGTCTCTCAAGGTCACCTTTTTCCTTGCTCTGACAAAAATGCTTCAGAAAAAAATACTGGATCAGTCCTGCAGTCCCTGTTTTAGTCTCTGTGTTCCAGCGTATCTGAGCTAACATGTTTCTCCTTGATTTAGGTAAAACCCCCTGTTATTATTGCATCCTTCATTCTTTTAACTGTTTTCCCTGTGTGTAGAAGTAGGATTGTGGAAGCTACTGCCATGTTGTGATTCTGAAGCTGCAAAAACTGCTGTATATCATATATACTAAATCCTTACTTCTTTGAAAAATCCCTTACTCTTAGAAATCAGATTATATAACTCCATCTGCCCTGGTAAGAATTAGGCTAACATCTATTTTTTCTGTTGGCAAGCTAGAAGGA